AGGCAAGTTAAACCCTTGCGCAAAGTCCACTGATTTAATACATCTACTCCAGCTGGCACTAGCCACTGGATCCAGGCATTCACTGATCCTTAAGGTTCCACAAAAAGACCTTCTTTGGCTTCTTTTCGAAACAGTGCCCTCTGCTGATTTCAATCTTTCCTTCTTTTCGGCGTCCAGGTGGATCACTTCGCTCTCCTAAAATCCACCTTCAAATCCTTATCACTCCGGAGGGATGTGGAAATGCTCTTATTTAAACGTTCCACGGGGGCTGCGAGGCAATTCCTCCAAACGTGATTTCGGAGGCAGGGAATTCGCCCACTGGAATCAAAAGAGAAGCCTTGTTATTTATCGTAATTATTCAACAACGCAACGTGATCTGGAGCCTGCCTGCCTGGCCAGGTCGCCAATGGCCAGACTCGCGAGCAGTTATGACCAGCTCTGGCCACAAATTTTTGCTTTGACTTGCGACCAGAACTTTGAGTTACAACCAAAAAAAGGCAGGGAAAAAAGGCGGGGAATTCAAATTGCTAACCATTGGTGGTGAAAAGCCTGCTTCTTTGTAGCTCTGTTGCCCCAGAGGTTAGAGAGTGTGCGTTCAGAGGAGGCTTCGGACTGCCTGGTAAGGTGCTGCTTTCTACTTTTTAAAAACTGGCCATTCTGGGTGGGTTTTGCAGCGTGGGTTTGGGCTGGGTGCTGGGGTTATGTTTCTATGTTGTGCACCGCACACCCCACCCCACCTCTGCCTTGCCCGCCCGCCCGCCTTCAAGGCAAGCCAGCCGGAGCTGCTCCCTGCAGAGGACGACACCGGCGCCTTCCTTGCCCCAGAGCTTCCATGGGCATCTTTGGGGCAGCCGCCTGGGCAAGAAGGCGCGCCGTCTAAAGTCACCCTCGTGGACTGCCCGGAGGGACGGGCGAGAGGGAAGCCGCCTCAGCAGCTGACAGGTAAGCAGAGTCCTGCTGCCGCCTTCCCGGATCCTTCTGAGACGCGGGAAGGCTCACGGGGCGGGTGCCTGGTCGCGGGGACGCGCTTTTTAAATTTTTTGCCTCATTGCAAAGGAGAGAAGAGACCGGAGGGACGATCTTAGGACATCTGGTTGAAAGCATCCTTCCCCCCCCCTCCACATTTATTTATTTCTTTATTTAAAATATTTTTAACCCGCCTTTCTCCTTAAAAAGAACCCAAGGCGGCTTACGACAATTAAAAGACAGTGTTTAAGTTAGTAACAATGAGTATACAATACTAAAAGGATCAATGAGTGCAATAGGAAAAAAAAAAAACCTAACCAACCCATAAGCAATTAAATGCTGGTCTGCACCGTGAACTAACCAGGGTTGTAAAGATACACACCGTCAGGCGTTTTCTGTGGAAAGTCAGATTTCTCCTCTCTCCCCCCCCCCCCTTAATTCTTGCGGGTGCTGACCTTTCGTTTTTCAATAGGCAAGTTGACCAGAGGCATGTAACTCTAAGTGACTCCAGTTTTACACCTAGGGCTGGTCCTGAACAAAGGGGTGGTCACAGCTGACTGCCTGAGAAAAGAGAAGTCACTGGTGGTTTTGAAAGTTGTGTGTGTGTATGTGTGTGAGAGAGAAGAGGGGGAGTGAGGGAGGAAAAGAGGGGAAGACAGAGAAGGAAATTAACAATTGGCCAGTCTCCTCTTTTTAAGCTCAGTGATGTGTTACTATAATAAAATCTCATGAAATACCAGTTCCACATACACAGGGCACAGTTTATAACCATCTGCTTTGGAAATGTGGACCAGTGTTCTGATCTGAAACACAGCATTGCAGTACCTGCAATGCATCTTTGGCTGTGCTCTTTCATTTTTGAATGAATGAGAGATTTACCAAGATTTAGCCATTCATGTCAAGATTTCACAAAGTTCCCATGTCTTCCAAAAATTGCAAAGGCACTTTTATTTTTAGCATGGGATTGTGCAAGTGGTTATATAACTGCCTGTGACCACCACATTGTAATCAGGACCAACCCTAGGGATTTTAAAGGACAAAATTAACAGCTCACTTAAGCTAGACTTTTCTTTTATTTCCAAGAGGGCAAAGTTCTGAAAAGAAAAGAAAAGATCGGAAATGTTGAGAAGCACTCATTTAGAAAGCCTCTTGAATAATGTAAGCCGAACCTGAATTCCAGCCAGTTCACATCACTATAGAAAATGGTTTTTGATGTAAATCTACAGGAATCCAAACAATGCCTTTGAATAAAATAGCAACAGGTGCATGATCCACTTGCTGTGCCTTAATTAGCACTTTGCATATCAAACCACATCAGTGCTACTGCATGCTAATTCACTATGAAATCTAACATCAGTTCAAGTTCTTGACTTCCCACCAGCACAAATACAATGCAAGCACTGTGTTTCCTTACTGACTTTATTTATTTATTTTTTTAAAAAAACTCTTGGATAAGGTTAGGAAACAAATATTGCCTTTAAAAATCATTGTTCTAGTTTGAAACATATACACTAAACCAAACAAGGTTAATTTTCTTTCAACTTTCTGTTCTCTCTCTCTCTCTCTCTGTGTGTGTGTGTATGTGTATGTGTGTTTGTGTGTGTTTTATCTGTTTATTGTAAAGCTGAAGGTGGGGAAAAAAGTTAATTTCTTTTCAATGAAGTGTGATAGAGACATGTCCAAACCCATGCATAAACCACTTAAGTTTAAATGGCTTGCTTTTCCTGGTGCTCATACATTTTGCTTGAAAAATGAAACGCGGGACCAAGTGTATTGTCCTCTCTGATGTATTGGGAATCACCTCCAGGAAAGCAAGATTAAAAATTGACCATGAATACAAATCTCGGCTGGCCATGGATACTCACAGGAAGTATCAGTGGTAAGCCACTTGATGAACATCTGACATATCTTGAAAACCTGTCAGGCTTACCATAAATTGGGAGAGACTTAATGGCACACAATAAAAAAGCAGTCCTGGAAAAGCCTTCACCTGGAAGCAGAGACTAGTTACCTACAAAGCACATCCATGAAGAAAAGAAAGGGATCTTGTTGGAAATACAGGCTACCTTGAAACATCAGGTTGTCTAATGTGTGGGAAGCAGGATACTGGACTACTTAGAGGAACCTCCAGCAGACCTGCTCTTTGGTAATTATCTCCATGTAATATTCCCACATGAAGGTGCTAGTGTGATTGTTTTAAAGCAGTGTTCTGTTTAATATGTCAAGAGGTTAAATTGCAAACAACTCTTACTACCTCCAATTTCTTGATAAAGACAGTTCTCTTTTGCTTAATTAAGCCTGTGCTAAAATCAACAACAGGGAGTTTTGTGGCACCATAAATGCTAACAAGAGTACTGAGGCAGATCCAGCATCTGCCTCTTGCGGTCAGAAGAGGAATCACACTGGGACTGATGGGTGTGTGTGCCTACATGTGTTTGATCTTTATCAATTGCCCCTCTGCCTGCAGTATGCTATCACCCCACCCCCACCCCCACCCGCTGCTGTAGAACAGGAAGAAAATGATGTACGCTCTATTCTGGAAATTTTCCTGTCAGCAGAAAAGAAGCTGAATCTAACCCAATTATTTTCTACTGGAAAAGACAAACAAAGTTGCTACTCTCTAAAATGATAATTAAGCAAATATATATATATATTGTCTTCTTCCACATTTAACTAGGTGGTCGTAATAATTTCATTAATCATCTTCAGTAATCCAGAATAATATTATTGAGTCCAATAATGTGCAAATAATGTGGAATCTGCAACTGAAATCTTCCTTAGGTCTATTTTGCTGCATTAGATTCCCTATGAAGAAATGTGTTTGGTGGTTAAGGGAGGCTGACATGTTGAAAAAAATCTAAGAAAATATTGTTGTGACCTGTTTTGAAAAAACAAATAGGAAAAGCTAGATTAGCTTTTGAATGCATTTCTCTCTCTCTCTCTCTCTCTCTCACACACACACACACACACACACACACACAGAGAGAGAGAGAGAGAGAGAGAGAGAGAGAGAGAGAGAGAGAGAGAGAGAGAGAGAGAGAGAGAGAGAGAGAGAGAGAGAGAGAGAGAGAGAGAGAGAGAGAGAGAGAGAGAGGCTTGAATTACTATTGTTAGCCAGAATTGGGAGAGACAGCAAAGAAAGTGAATGCGATTCACAAAGACCGGATGTGCGGCTATTATTCCAGTCTGATATCCAGCCAACTCAGGGCAGGTTCATATATTGTGCTGTGGAGATGACCTACACACAGTGATGAGCAGGAGCAAATGTCTGACTCACGGCTGCTTCACATTCATGTAGATCAGCTTTGGAAGATCTGGAGACCAGTTTTGGCCCTGTTTATGCCTCATCAGAAACATGATTTCCCCCCTTCTCCATCTCCCCTCCCTCCCTCCTCCATTTTCTTTCAAAAGCAGGCTGGAAGGTGACCACTAATTTTATTTTAAAAGGGAACTCCCTGCGTTTCCAGGAGTTGCAAATCTCTTTTTATTGTTATTTTTGGATAGTGTAGGAATTTAGAAGGGGCATGAAGATGAGGGGGAAGGCATTTGGCCCACTCCTGATGTAGAACTAACTCTTGTACAGATATGGCCTACTTCATTTGCAAGGGCACCTCACCCCAGAATTTCAGTGGGCT